TTATTTTTGGAAGTTAAGCTTAATGCAATGTCGTCCTTAGAGTGTCGTTATATAAACATGGCGGCGCAACGAACTGAACGAAAACACAATCACATAAACTGAAACTTACCTTGATTTGCTGCAACATTTTTTGAAACTATTTTCTGGCGAGTTAAAGACCTTTTATCACACTGGAAGGCCTTCCAGTGTCTAACAAATCAGAATAAGCGCGCCCAAGTACGATATACGCTCGCCGGGTTGAAGCAGGGGTTGAAGGGAAGAGAAAAGACCGCGGAAAACTGAAACTAGCCTCGAGTGCAAGTTWAAGCAGGCAGCCCACGTATCCGGGAGAATACACTTCGATAAAATAAGGGCAATACTCCAGTTTCGAGATCTTATTTGTACAGCCTTTACCTCAAAAGTATGTAATATTTAACAATTAGACCTCGAGGTCGAGTGGACTACGAGCTAATAGCCCATGAGGCCGAGTCCGTGAGGCCGAATGGGCTATTAGCTCGTAGTCCACGAGGCCGAGAGGTCTAATTGTTTAATTACAAACATAGTAATCGGTCAAATAATGAAAACAAATTGAAATATCCTTAAAACAATTTATAATTTATAATTTAGAGTAGAAGAAAATCAATATCGTTTTGCGTTCTTTCTCTTCTTTTCCGACAGCCTTTACGCAATTGCAGAAAAAGCAAATTTCCAGAAACTCCAATTTGTCAACACAAAATAAAAAGTAAATACTGTATCATGGTAACAAACAAGTTCACTGTATGTGAATTCAAAATACTTTATTGCTAAAAACTTTGCTTGCAATACCATTGAATGACAACCTTCACTAACATGTTGTAWAAAAATCACAAACAAAACAAGGACAAAAACAATATGTTTATTTAACATGATTTAAATATAGACTTCAACATTTTACATCAAAATWACCACTAAATTCAAAAAGCTTCTCTGCAGTGTTATCCAACATGACAATCCAAACTTCCCTTAAGGCTGATTTACACGGCACGATTGTCTCGTGCGATTTGTAGTATACGACTTGAATCGTATACTACAAGTCGCGCGCGACAAATCGTATCGTGTAAATCAGCCTTTACATGTTTAGATTTCTTTTTGCATCTGGAACATTCAAATGGATTCTCTCCGGTTTGAATTCGCAAATAATTTTTCTTTCCTTCCAATTTTATTTTTTATAGTTGTAAGAACATTCAAATGTTTGTTTCCCCGGTGTGTTTCTGTATATGACATTTCAAATATTCCTTCCCTGCAAATTTATTTTCATATATTATATATAAGAGCATTCAAAATGCCACTCTCCAGCATGTGTTTTTTAAGTAACAATGCGCTAAAGAACTAGGGAACTCTCTATTGTTCTGCGGCATAGCAAGTTCCCCATGTACGAATGTCTTGGTTTTCACACTGATTATATATCCATCTGTGGGTAACACATTTTTGAAATAAAATGTGGATAAACTCTATTTTGAAACAAAGTTTCTTTTGTATTAAAAACTCTTATCCAATCACAAGCACTCAAAACAATAGCCAAAAGATGCTTTTAATTTGCTATGTTCCCCACGTAGAATTGCTTTAATATTAAAGCTAAAGAAAGCTTTCGTGAAAGCGAAAACAGACATTAAATAAAATATTAGAACATTCGCTAACTTGTGAAATTATAGCAGATTTTCATGTTTTAACCAATGGGATGGATGGATTATACAATGCAAAATTAGCACCTTCATGCATTCCATTGCCGTTTGCTTGCCTGCTTCTTACTCGGACCATTACTTAAGAACTTTCTAAAACTCATGAATTATTCCTTAGACATTCTTCCAATGAACATTCAACTATGGGTCACATGACAGAATCTATAACTCAAGTAACAAACACTGATTAATTAAACATTTGAGTTTTATAACTAACCATTTCAGTTAGTTATAACACTCATGCATAAAACATCAGTGTTGTAACTGATTCACAGACACTTGATGTGTGCCCAGCACTAGAAAAGTTCTCAGTTTTAGACTCTAATCATAGAACTTTAGTAGGTTTCAAGTTCGAATGTACTTATTGCAGATTCATAGTAGATAAAGCATAGTGGCGCATGCATGTGGGAAACCAAGTTGATTACTGCTCATGCTCAGATGGTCGCTATCTTCATCAATTATTTATTTTTGATATTCTTTTAATTATTTCATGTTAAACTAAAATATTGCAGTTTCTTAAGGTTGGGTTTTAGAAGTCATTTAAAAAACTCGTGGTTTGTGTTTTGTTGTGAATATAAATTCAGCCTCGTGTTTATATCTCACGTTAAAACACTCCTACTCGTTTTTTAAATATCACTTCAAAACCTCATACATAATTAATGATTTATTAGGCTTTATACCTGATAAAACACTCTCTCTCGTGCTTTTAACWATACTTCAAATGACTTTTCCCCAGTGGGATTTTGTACAAAAAAWTTCAAATATTCTTTACATGAAATTTTTTTTCACAGTACATACATGTAAGAGCATTCAAAGGGCTTCTCTCCAGCATAAGTTTTTATTCAAGTGATATGTTAAGGCATTCTTACTTGTAAATTTCTTTTTGCAGTTAGAACATTCAAAAGGYTTYTCTCCAGCATGAGTCCGTGAATGATTTATCAAATTTTCTTTTCGGGTAAATTTCTTTTTGCATAAAGAACATTCAAAAGGCTTCTCTCCAGCATGAGTCTTTAAATGAATTATCATATTTGGTTTCTGGGTAAATTTCTTTTTGCAATAAGAGCATTCAAAAGGTTTCTCTCCAGTATGAATCCGTGAATGAATTATCATGTCTAGTTTCCGGGTAAAATTCTTTTTGCAGTAAGAGCATTCAAAAGGCCTCAATCCAGTGTGACTTCTTATGTGAAGTGTTAAACATCTATTTGAAGCTAATTTCTCTTTGCAGTAACAGCATTCAAAAGGTTTCTCTCCAGTATGAGTCTGTAAATGAATTATCATTTGTTGCTTCCGGGAAAATTTCTTTTTGCAGTAAGAACATTCAAAAGGTTTCTCTCCAGTATGAGTCCGTGAATGATCTATCATATGATGTTTCTGGGTAAATTTCTTTTTACAGTAGGAGCATTCAAAAGGTTTCTCTCCAGTATGAGTCCGCGAATGAATTATCATATTTTCTTTCTTGGTAAATTTCTTTGTGCAGTAAGAACATTCAAAAGGTTTCTCTCCAGTATGAGTCCGTGAATGATCTATCATACGATGTTTCTGGGTAAATTTCTTTTTACAGTAAGAACACTCAA